TAGATGTAAAGTTTGAAAATATTTAGAATTAATTTTAGAAGCATCTAGAAGACAAATCAGAATATGATTCAAACCAGTGAATCTTGAAAACTGAACAGATAAATTATAAAAAGTCAAGTCATCCAGATTCTAAGCCAGAAGTCTGCTGATGTACGTAATTTAAATTACATTCTTGTTATGCTGACTAGAAATATCTCTGTTCTTAGCCCTCTGTAGTATTTGGCCAGTTGTAAGTATTCAATTTATCTGACTGATTTTCAAAAGTTGTAAATGATTGAATCACACAGTGTATGAATCTTTTAGATAATACAAAAATTTAGATTAAAAATATAAAGACTAGAGGCAGGCAAATTCATGATATACACAGGGTGTTTTTTTAGTCACACCAGATTTCAAGTGCTGTATCACATCATGAAATAACTTGTAAGATGTTACTTACACTTCAAAGTTTAACAACAACCTACAGCTGTTCAATGCCAGATCTCCACTGTGTTCCAGTGATGATTAAACACTCTCGCAACCACTTCCAGAATCTCATAATCTGCATGTTGACGATGTTTGTCCAGAATGTCCAGAATAACCATATAAATCCTCTCCTTTAGGCAATGCAAATTTGCAAGTTTTTCAGTATACACTTTCATTTTAACATTACATCAAATTGGAAGACCTTGCAGGCAAGAGATGGGCCCATGTGACCAATCCACAGTAGGTCTGGTGTTGAACAGCTGTATATCACCATTAAACTTTGAAGTGTAAGTAACATTTTACAAGTTATTTCATTAAGTGATGTGATATACTGTCTGGATGATACAGCATTCGAAATGCAGTGGGACTTCAAAAAGCTTAATTTTGAGGATAGGGATGAGTTTTATAAAAAATTGTAAATTCTAATAATAAGTAAAATCATCATTAAGTCTGACCCTACTCAATACACACACGACCCTATTTATCTCCCCACCCCCTCGACCTTTAACCACCAAAATTTAATAGCATCAATTAACCTGACATTAGAATTTAATAATTAGAATAAAACAAGGGTTTGGATTTCTGTATGTATTTATACCTGTTATTCAATACAATATTTTAATAATAATGATAAAACATTTTCAATTCAAAATACTGTATTGCACTATATTCAAATATAGCCTTTCACTTAAAAAAAAAAAACAAAAATTACAAGTACAGAAGCACTAACTTTATTGCTAAATAAAAATATTGAAACTGTTTACAGGATGACAAATTGATATTTTTAACAAAATAATTTTAAATTAATCATATATCACACACATATATATATATATATATATATAGAGGCTAAAGCATTTTATCTAATCATTGTAGATACCTTTAAAAGACGATGACTAATAAAAAATTTACTTGTTTAAATGGCAGGAAGTTTAATTTTGTTGCAACAGAAATTACTGATTAAATATACGATAAAGTATAAGAAGTTTTTTTTGTAAATGTTTCATTTCTATTCAAATAAAACTTCGAATTAATAATAATAATAATAATAAGCTAATATATGCTGCTAGCTATATATTCAGTATCTTATCTGTTACAAGGTTGTCATAATTTTGTTTCATATTGCTAAATATAAACAAGATTTTGAAATTATCATTATCATGATTAATATTTCATTATGAATCACTCTTATAATTATAAAAAATTAATTTATATCAAATTTCATGTACTGAACTAACTAAAATGGCTATTATATTGGTTTTACATGTATATTTTCAAGATAACTTTTTAAAATTTTCCATTTTACTTTGAATAACATTTTTTTTAGTTTAAAAACTAATGATATTTTACTACTGCATTCATTTTTCCTCTACATTTTATCCTCCTCTATTCATTACAATAATACAGATGTATGCAGAACTGGAAAAAAAAAAAACTAAACTACCTTGACAATAATTCTAACTTGCTTTATGATTTTTATATAAAATTCCAAGAATTCTGCCATTACACAAATATTTAAAAACAATAAAATATTAATTTTATTTTTTAATATAAAGGTATGTGAAATTTTTAATCAATGAAAGGAAATAGCTGTTATGTTGAATGTAAATGTATACACTTGAAGATTAATTCTCTTATTTATCCTTGACATTTTAATTGACAAACAAAGTCTGTAATATCTAAACAATTAAATACCTGACTGAATCAGGTCATTATCGTCATGAAAATATTCGAGTGTCATTACAGAAATTTATTCGTGGCACACAAAGGAAACACACATTAACGCATGGGACGGCAACAAACTTGTGAATTATCTAAAATAATTTTACGTTTACAGATACAATGTCAAAATCCTTTGTTCTGAAGGTTTTCGTGAAATTGTTTATTGAAAAAAACTATGCAATTGTGTTGTTAAAACATTTTAATACATTATTTCTTGTGAAAAATTTTTTTATGATGTTTAATATCAATATAATGTTATCCAATCACTCAAATCGCTAAATATATAACTCTTAATTTAATTTATTAAATCCAAATGATCTTCCGAGTCGTCGGGCTATTTTTACGCTAAATTATTATTGTTATTAAAATTAACATGAGACGGCAGCATAACCGCCTACCTCTAGTCAAATTAATTAGTAACTAAACTAATTATTAACTTATCCTAAAAATAACCTGAAGATTTGGTAGATTGCTTGGATCAAATTATAAAAATTAATAAATTAATTAGTATGTAACAAATGTCATTGATTTTATATATATAGAAAATATTGAGTATTTAATAAGATTTACCAACAATTGTTTCCCATAGCAAACCACTACAGATCAAACATATGCCAATAGCTGATGTTAAAGTCGTACATTGAAGATTACTTTTAATGAGTACATATATGTAATAATAAACTAATTAAAACTAGTAATAAAGTAAAAAAAATTTGATGTTTTCAATAAACAATACTCTAAAATATTCAGAGGGGAAAAAAAATCTATTAGCTCACTAAACTATTTTAATAAACAGTACATCAGACTATCATTTAAAAAATAAATTAATTCCACCTATTCCTAATAGCGTCAGTCATACTCTTCAAATAGATGTTACGTAAGAAATGCAAAGTTTTTTATTGAGAATATTCAAGACTTTTATATATAATTTACACAGATTTTCTTAAACTCTTCAAAGGAAGAAAACATTTAAAAACATGAAAATTAAACTATAAATACCAAAATAAGCCCTCATTTTAAAGGACTCTGATTTAATAGCCTTCAGATATAATGGAAACTTTTATCCTAAAGGAAAAATTTAGACTTTTCTTTTTAATTCGTGAATAGAACACACTAAAATGATGAGTCAATAAGTAAATGAGTATAAATTACTCAATGCACATTACATTATTTTATACTTAGGCATACACATTAACAATTTAATAAATCCTACACATCGCAAGTTTGTTATTAATGTATGTTTTTAATATATATTTAAATTATTGGCAATAGCAAACCCCCTTTTACTCAGTACATTAAATTGAGAGCCTATTGTACTTAAAAACAAGTGACATTCTGTAGTATGGAGTTTAAATTTTCACTTAATTCAAAGTTAAATTCAGTATTTAAACTTCTGACAGGAGTATTAAAGAATGTGATGAAATATATCATTATACTTTCACTTCATTTCAACAATATTTACTTCATTATTCATTAATCAAATCAAAAACAATTCTGTATTCAAAACAAGGTTATAAATTTAAATCAGAATAAAAATGCAGCATTGAACTGGTAAATAAGTGCTTCTTGTGTATAAATATGTACAATTCTTTTGTTTTTAATATAATTCTGATGTCTCAATTACCTATTTTCCAATATTTTCTTTCTAAATAACATAAGTTCACTAGACTTGTTAATCCAGCCATAAGAGGAGACAGATTAGCAAAAGTCCCGGATTATCGTGTACACAGGTCTAAAGATGGCAAATAACACGACCAGTTGTTCTTCAGTATTGACTCTCTGGAGGCAGGCAGAAAAATACAGTGTACCGACATGCACTACTGTATGTAGAAATAAAACCAGAGTAAACAGGATCAATGTTTTCGTGGAAACTGAAGCACATAGACAATCACATTAGGGTTACATTGGCCAGATTAACAAGAGAGTACTGCATTTTATTAAAAATTGACATAGGAAGTGATTAAATATAAAGATGGGTACAATTACATCTCTGAAGGAGACATTTGGGACCTTATCAGAGCTGTAGACCATATCTCAGAAGCAAAAAAAATCAAAGGAACCATACCTCTACAGGTGATTCTTGGAGAGATACAACCCCGGAAATCAACCTAATACATACAATTGTGTGTCATGTCGATCCACCAAGACTATTGCATATAACTATTTAGCCCAGGTGACTATGCTGGCTTTGAGTAGTCCACTGGACCATTTGTGAAGTGCTCGACATTATATAGTTTTGGGAGTGTGGGGACCAACATGCGAGTGGCAGATTCTGGCAGATTCAAAGAAGATTCTGGATAAGTGATTTGTATATTTTAATTGTATATTGGCAAACATCAGTCGAGGCTCGGTACTGCTCACTTTGACCAATGTAGAGCACAGAGAATAGGCAGTAGTACCGGTAAACGGTAAAGACGACCATTGGTGGTGAATATCTTGCAAAGGGTCGCACATACAGGTACGGTTCCTTTGACCTTTTTACACATACAGGGGATCTACAATTCTGGGAGTCGGAAACCCCTCTTTCAGAGCACATTTTACCAACGAAGGCACACTGGGGGGTATGCTGGATAACAGAGGCCGGATTAGTAAAAGTGTGCTGTATTTTATTAAAATTGACATAGGGAGTGATTAACTCAATGATTTGTCACAATGAGTATACAATATTTTTACTTTTTAATGTTACAAAGTTTATTTGGAACCCCGAATAAACTTTGTAACGTCAAAATGGATGATAATTACAACCTTATAACTGAACCAAATGCTTCATTTGCATTCATTGTTTTAATTAATGACTGGTGAGAGGGTCTTACCTTTAAATAGATAATCGTACTCGTCATCTCTGGTCCCGGTCCCCATAGTTTAACTACAACGTGAAATGCTCATTAATTACATTTTCAATCAATCTGTACGCTTTTCAAAGAACATTTAGGCAAACTCACCCGTAAACGAACGCTTCTAACTTCGAAATGACACTAAACAAGATGGAGAAGCAACCGACAACGCCCCCTGCCTTCAGGATATCGTATAATTGGCTAAATAAATTTATAAATAGAAAATTGTCATAATTTATTGTATTTTCTTCGTTCCGGGTAAGTGATTTGTGTATTTTAATTGTATATTTTTCATAATTATTATTATTTTTTAAATAATTAGTTTTGTTATAAAAATATTCGATGACAAGCTTTTATCACGTTATATTCCGGGTCTTTAATTTGGAGTTCAAAAATATGGAAGCGATACAGTATATTATTTCAATGTTAATTTGTAATTTTCTTAATTTATTAATTTATAAATGATTTTATACTAGTTTGAAATAATTAACCTACACTTTTCTTTAGGGCCTCCCTCTGAAAAAGGTNAGCTGTCTAACAAAGAATAGTCGTTTAATAATGCTCACTTGTCAGAACATTCTTAGCTCCGCCCACTAAGCCACTCAGAATTCTTAGCTCCGCCCACTAAGCCACTCAGAATTCTTAGTTGTTCTGCGTTACTGAACACGGCCCTGGTCTCTCACAACACGGCCTCTGATTGGCTAATCCAAATGACTAGCCAATCAGCGACCGGCTTGTGAGAGACCAGAGACGGTGACAAGAATACGACCCTTGGTTCGATGTAACCAGAACGAACCATACTCAAAATTCCTGGGATTTTTTTCCCTTAGAGTAAATACAGGATCTGACAGGAATAAAAATAGACGAATAACTTTTAGATTATTAACAAATTATTACGTACAAGATTTCAAACAGCATAATTTGCCATTTATATTTTGAAGATGACATCACGCAAGTGAGACTCGTTTTATACTCTCTTTGCTCTATTTCATTCAGAAAACACGCTTCACATCTTCAAAGTGTGCCATGAATGGAGCGGCGCAAGAATGTGGTGTTTGAAGATCGTTTAGTACATCACACTTTTCGTCCACAAAATATTGAAACTCTTAAGGCAAAAATTCGTCGTGCAATCAGTTAACGCACCCGAGAATATTTTGTACCGCTCTGTGCATGGCATACATTGAAGATATGAAGAGTGTTTATGCATAAATGAGGGTTTTTTTTAGCGAGTACCTGTATGGATTCTGCCAGAACCCATAGTGGGGCGTCCGGATGGTGAAGGATGGACACTCTTTGGAAAATTCTTCTGTGTTTTTAACCCGTCCGGATTCGATTCAAGGGCTTCAGTGCGGCACGGTGACACCTTGTCCGCTCGCCCATCCAGCTTACTTAATAGGTTAAGTAAGCTTAGTAGACTAAGGGTGCAACTATACACATGCAAGCGAGCGAGAATATGTGGCGAAAAGAGGTGATGACGTTTCTCGTTCTCGTTAAATCGAAAGCGTTTATCACTATTATGACGGGCAGCCATAAATATCAAACTCAGTCAGATATTTCGCCACAAATTCGTTCTCGCCAGCGAGAAACGAGAAATCTCGCTGGCGAGAACGAATTTCTGGTTCTCGCAAATATGTAACGGAGTTTGGCATTTATGGCGGCTCGCCTCTTCTAGCCGAATACTGCGTATGCGCCTTGCACAGGATTAGAAAATGGCTGATAAGAATGGTTATTTCCCATTTTGTGATCTATATATAAAAGGATCACGCCACTTTCTCCCGCGACAGATTTGACAACTTTCTATCAAGAAAACTCCCTAAACAGATCCGAAATCCCCCTGAATACTGAAACAATTTCTCCAAAATAGTTTTGCTCCGAGTACAATATATTGGTATTTTGACAATTCAGAGAAACAAATTTTTACTTTAGCGCTCAGGCGGAGTGGGCACATTTAAGCAAAAGCATCACGTGACGAATCCACCTGTTCTTTATCTCTCTTGTCTTCGATAAACAGCAAATTTCTCTGAAATAAATTTTCATTTTTTATTTAAAATGTCAAAATCACAAATTAATGTTTCGTCTTTTTTTTGAGTCTATGTAAAAATCGCATTAAAGTTTTCCCTTTCCTATGGGCATTAAGAAAGCCCATAAATAAAGTCCATTGTGGGGCTGACCGAATTCACAATTGAAGTGGAAAATGTCTTAATGCACACGCTTGTTACGTCACGATAGTTTCATCGGCTGCAACAATAATTAACGTAGATTGTTTTGTAAGAAAAGAAAAACGTTCCTATTGTTCTAACATTCCATAAAAGGCCATGGAGAGAAGAGACGAAGGAATTTCGGCAAGTTATCGAATTTTCTTTTTAGCAATTCTAAACAAATTATATTGATCGATAGTTTTACGACTTTGTTGTCGATTATACAGGCCAGTGGCGCGTTATCGTATGGGCAAAAAGGGCAATTTCCCGGGACCTTTACCAACAGAGGGCTCCAAACCAATCTTTTATAAGAAAATGTTTCTACATAAGAAAGATGTCTGAAGTCAACACTGTACGTGTGGCCCCTAATACAAATTTTCTTGGGGTTCCCATAAAGCTACAACGCGCTACTGGTACAGACCCAATACGATCTACTCGTTTTATTTAACTGTTGTTTTAAAGTCACTTTAATCGACAAATGCTTTATTTATTTAAAAAATCCATATTATATTTATTGAAATTTGATTTATTTTCATTCGTATCACCTGTAATTCTTTCTGAAATATTTTTGAAACACATCGAAATTAAAAGTCGTTGTAATTTATCTTCAGTTCTTACATTAATTGGCATTTTTTTCTTTTGATTCTCCGTCCATTGGACATTAACGGGGTATTTTTCTTTGGCCACAATGAGGGTGACGCCTCGCCCATTTCAAACGAGATTCACTTATTTGTTTCATGGCGGATTTTTGTGATAGATGATTTTTATAATATAATGCTATTGTATTTTTCTTTATGAATAATTGCAAAATATTAGAAATTAACATTTGTAAATAGAAATCATTTCTTTTGATGCTGGAAAATTATTTTGTGGGCTTTTAAGTCTTTATTTCTTGTACTTTTTCGTTAAAAAAGGTCCACTAACCGTAGAAATGGACGAAAGACAACAGTGTGTAAAGTGCAAGAGTCAATGCCCGGGTTATAAACCTCACGCTTGGAGGTAGGCACTCGAAATATGTAAGTGAATAAAGATTAAGAATGCCACAATAATTAGCTTTGTTTTTCTGTTAGAGTAGGGGCCATATTCTGGTTGCCATCTCTGGTCTCTGGTCTCTCACAAGACGGCCTCTGATTGGCTAATCCAAATTACTAGCCAATCAGCGACCGGCTTGTGAGAGACGAGAGACTAGAGACGGTGACCAGAATACGACCCCAGGGCTTCTTAAACTATGGGTCGCGACCCCAATTGGGGTCTCTTAGCGAAATCTTGGGGTCGCGAGATTTTAATGCAAAATACTGAAAATAATTTGTGAGAGTTTGAAAATGGCATGGTTTGTGTCATAGGTTTCATGAGTTGCGCTTTGTGTCACTCCTGGTGCAGCGAGACAATGATTCAGCAACACTGATTGTAGTGTGAACTAGTGTAGTGTTGTCGCTTTTCAGTGTATTCAGTTGTCTTTGTTTCATTGTAACACAAGAGTGAACTGTGGTAGTACAGGTACACCATTATTGTTTTTGCAAATTTGTATATATCTTTATTTTATATTTTTTTGGGTCGCGAAAAAAATCACAATCATAAATGGGGTCGTGAATAAAAAAAGTTTAAGAAGCCCTGTGTTAGAGCTATCTGCGATCATTGTAAATGTGTGCGTGAGTAGCACGAAATTCGTCTGGAATGCAAAGAGAATATTTAAATTCATGAATAAAAAATTAATATCGTACTCTTGGATTTTCAGCTGATTTTTGAAGAATGCACCAAATTAATGTCAAAATATTGGCACCCAAATCATGTTTTCCGTTTGAAATGCGAATAATTTCTAACTAGCCAGAAAATTTTAAGGGAGGATCGTACATTCTTCACCCACGAATGCATATTTGCCACGAATGGAATGTGGAAGAACAATAGGAGTACATTCCAAGGTAAGATATTAACAAATAAAAAAAAAATTATTTTCAGAATCTTTTCTACAAAGATAAACATTGACACGAAGAATGCTTTGTCTGCAATAAATGCCATAGGCTATTCCGTTGATAGAAAGATCTTTCGCCTGGAAAAAAATATCCAAATCTACTACGAAGCGTGTTACGATGCAGCTTTCGCTTCCAGATGCGAAAAATGCGGCCAAATATTTCGAGCTGGTAAAGGAACATTTGGATATTCTCGTAATTTAAAATCGACGTAAAAATATATTTAAAATTTAATTTTTAGGTACAAAAATGCTAACGTACGGAGACAAGCAATGGCACAAAAAGTGTGTTCGCTGCGTTGCTTGCGCTAACCTCGTATGCAACGAAGGTTTCGTTGAAATAGGTAACGACATACAATGCAACAGCTGTTACCAACAAAAGTTCGGTTCAACTTGTGTCGAGTGCCATCAAATTGTTACCACCGTATGGCAACAAACTTTGGCACAGTCAATGTTTCTGTTGCACCAAGTGTCTGGTGCATTTGTACGGACGGCGATTCGCACTCGAAGACGATAAAATGTATTGTGTCGAATGCTTCGGAAGTTTGTTTGAGTGCGTGCTGGTCTATTTCGTTTAATTTCTCAGAATAGGGGTAATGATTAAGAAACAAAATTTGGCACGGTATCTTCTGTTTAAAGGGCATCAATGCTATTAAATTTCGGTGGTTAAAGGAGGTTTCGAGGGGGTTAAAACGTGGGAAAAGTGTATCCACGAAGACATCTGTCAGCGTTATCGAACAGGTCAATGGATCTAGTGGAGAATTATCGAACGCACCTTTATATTCTCAATATAAAGACTATTTTTTAAAATTCTTTCCGCCCTGCGGGCACTAAGAGCCCATTGAAGGTTTGATCAGAGTCGATAGATATACTTGTTATTGCGCTGCCAATAACTATAATAATACAATACTGGCGTAATAAATATTTCTGCCACTTCGAGTGCTGCAATCGCTTCATGGCGTAAGTTTGACTCGAGCATAGGGAAAATCAGCTGTAAAAATTCGAAATTCTTTTAGAAATTTTCTAAAAACCACTGT